TGACAGCCCAGTGGTGCAAAGCAAGGACTCTATATCATGAGATAAAATAGGTTCAAAATCCAGCCCTCCCCACCCGTTACCACTGTGGGACGTGAATAAAATAGTATCAGGGTGAACACAGCTATGTCATGGGATTATTTTAAGGATAAAATAAGCTAAATCGTGTGCTTAGGTCCTCAGTGAGAGCGCTGGTATTACTTCTACTGCTAGTGACTGAGCGAGGAGGAGCCACTTGAATGCCTCTACTCCTTTGATTGTCCCATTTTTTTTATTATTGTCATGACTTTAATTTTTTAGAGCAGCTTTAGTTTTAATTGTCCCATGTTTAAAATATGAGATTCCTTTTACCCCAGCTACGCATCCCAATCCTAAATGCTCTGAGGCTGTGGCCCTGCTCCCTCTATCCGGTCCTGCTCTAAGCCTCTAGGTGTCACCTCTGTCATTCTCCTCTCAACCACCGGGCTCCTTTCCCAGTGAACAATTCGAGATCTAGAGATGCTAGCAGAAGAACAAACGGAAAGGGGGCATTTCAAAGACCACCTTCTCTCTTTTCCTGATTCACCCCTCCAGGCTGGAATGAATCTCTGAGACCTGAGAGAATACTTAACAGCAGTTTGTTAGGACTTCTCATGACCCTTGTCACTTGCCGTCTTCTATGGCAAGTACTTGTGAATAAATTTTCTCTCTCCTGCTAGACAATTTGAGCTCTGAGTGTAGAGACCAAGACTTTCTACTTCCACACACCACCCCGTTGTACTTCAACTCAGTCTTACAGATGCTTGTAGATTTGGGTGTGGAGAGAAGAGATATCCCTTTGAGAGCTGGAAGTTGAGACTTCAAAAGGTCTCTGAATCTGGTTCTTGGGGTCCACCTTTTGGTGCCATGTCTCTTGGTTCTGAGGGCAATGGACAGGCCTCATACCTTCCACATATCCTTCCCACCAACTCACACCTCTTAGCTTTTTCCTATTAAAAGCACTTCATTCTATTTTACTGCAATACTAAATTAAGAGCTTATTAGAAGTTAGAATCTCAAATTAGACACAGTAAGGGTATGGTTGGGGACGGATCTAACTGCAGGTGACACATAGCAAGTCCTTGATATGTGTTTGCAGAATGAACAAACGATGAGCTTATGCTCTAGAAGCCAAACAGCTAGTTGCCCAGTTACCAGAAATCAGAACATCAAGGAATCTCAAGGCAAGATGAGTGAGTTGATGCTAAAGACCATTGGACTTGAACTCCAGAAATCTCCCTGTTTCCGGGTAACAGGCTACCTTGGGGGACCTAGAAACATGCTACTGTAAATGGAAGCTGGAGTTCTGGGCTGAAGAATTCAAATGTTGCTTCTCTAGCCCCTGAACTTGAACATGGATCCCCAGCATGTCAAACATCAACCAACAGAAGTACAAGGCAAAGTCAGCAATACAGCATTTAGCTTTCAGCCTGTTACACCAATTACATTGATCTCTTCTGAACTGCATTTCCCACTGCTGTTTACCAACTTGGGAGGAGAAAAATCAATGGTGGCAACTCGTTTGGGTAGCAGCTGCCGAGAGAAGGAGCCGACTGCTACCGCAGAAGGAGTCAAGCTGCCTGGGGACAGACACTGAGCATGTTCTCCAGGTCTCTTGCTTTAAATTTTCATTAGTCATCTTATAATGAGACACTACGGGTTCTATTTTTTTCTTGTAGATAATGAACATTTTAATATTTTTACTGTCAACAAATTGCATTACTTCTGCAATTAAAAAAATAGAATATTTTTAAATACTAATAGTAAAATGCAAGTGGAATAATGTCCGTTTATACTTAAAACTCTTCAAAAGATTCATATTACTGTTGCAATAAAATCTGAATTTCTCAGGATGGCTTGCAAGACCCTTTCTGCTTTCTCCCACTCCTCTCCTTCATCATTTACCTGTCAGTCTTTCCACCCTTTTATTTTGCCTCAAGACCTTCACAAATGTACTTCCGAGTGACTGAGATGCTTTTCCTCTTTGGTTCAACCTCTGGTCTCACTTTAAACATTGCTTCTTCCTGGACACTTCTTTGACCTCCAGCCCTGCATCTAGATGCAGAACACCTGTTTTCTGTAGTCCCAACACCATACATAGCCCCCACCAGAGCCCTCAGCATGGTACCAACATTACCCTGTAAGCTCTGTAACTGAATAAATAGACTTTTCTTTTTCTCAGAAGATTCCCCAGGATGTAGAACAGTGCCAGGCACTTAGTAGATGCTAAGTTAAGTGTTCTTGGGTAAAATGAAACTCATGACACTCAGCTATTGGATTTGGGTAGGTTCTTAGAGACCATCTCACCTAATTTCTAACAATGAGGTCTAGAGAAACAGAGCCAGATTCTAATACCAAGTCCTTTCCTGAAATGCTACATGACCTTAAATAAGGCCTTCCCTCTCAGGGTCTCAGGGTCTTCAGCTATCAAATGATGCTCCAACCTGTTCCGACTTTTTCTCCTTCCCCTTCTCCTGGGTCTGGGCAGCTGATATGTACACTGACTGGGAGGGTAGGAGGGATGGAGCAAGAGAAACTAAATCTGCTACATCCCTTCAAATTGCTACCAAACAAGTTGAGGAAATAAGTCACACACAGGGAGCAAGTGCTCAGCTAAATGCTTCTGGTGATTCCCATCTCCTAGGAGATCAGATAGGGGGGGAAAAAAAAAAGCCTACAGGTGCCAGAGCATCCAGGTTCCTGCAGGAGATAAGGCTTAAGCCGAACAGGCAGAATTTGCCCAAGCAATGAGGACAAGAGAGGGTGTCCCCAGCAAGAATCGACTCCCTGCACCCATGTGAGATCAGGTGGGAGTACTCACTAAAGGGTTCCACCCATGCCAATTCTGACCCCAGACCTGCGATTCACTCACCCCAGGCTTAGACACTTTCTCCACCTTTCCAAACCTGCTTCCTTACCCTCGCGGAGGGGAATCTGAATCTTTGCTTGCAAAGATTTTGTGAGAATTAAATGTGTGTGACAGTATCTAGAACAGCGCCTGGTGCCTAACAGACCATTTTAAGAAATGTCACTTTCTTTTCTTCCTTCCAGCTACATAAACAGTCTTGACATGTCACTGGCAGGAACATCAAAAGTACAGCAGGGGTTTGGGGACTGAAGACTTTTTTTGCCGAACCATTTATATTCTGTTCACTCTGATGGGACTCTTCCCGTTCCTCATCACTCCTCATCATAACACACACACACACACACACACACACATACACACACACACACACACACCACGTAAAACCACAGGGGGGGAGAGGGGCTGTTTCCAACCCCCTGGTCAGGTGGGGCCAGATTCAGAGGTATCCATTATCATCAGCAAAAAAAAAACACAAAGTACCTACATCTAGGCCTGGCCTCAAGTTCTCCCTCCACCACGGGACTTATAAGACACGAGATTATGAGACCAAATGTCACTTTCTATGGTGCTGGAGGGAGAGTCTTTCATTAAATTAGAGGAAAAGCCTATAAAATACCTTGGAACATTTTATGAAGTTATTGATATTTCTGCAGGCAAAAACAGTGAGGCATGTGCTGAGGGAGGAATCAGGCAGGGGTGAGGGCCACAGTGGGAAGGTTGTTAGCCCTCCCCCATGATGATGGACTGAAACTAATGAGGATTTAGAAGCAGCACACCAAAAAAAACCCACATAGTATGACCTCATGCATACATCACCCTCAGAAAAAGAGCAATAACAGCCCTCATGTGTGAACATTCTTTCTTTCTTTTTTCTGGGGGGGGAGGGGTTGGCAGAGATGCAGAGATTAAACCCACAGCCTTGCATATGTAAGGCAAGATCTCTACCCTTGAGCCACATCCCCAGCCCTGGACATTATTTCTTGAAGGAAAGAAATATAAAGTTGGACTTAAATGAGGTTATTAATTTTGGGGATATAAGGGTGGTGGTGAACTCAGGAGGCTGAGGCAGGAGGATCGCCAGTTCAAAGCCAGCCTCAGCAACTTAGCAGGGCCCTAAACAATTTAGTGAGACCCTGTCTCTAAATAAAATATTTTATAATATTTTATTTTATCTAGAGTGCTGTGGATGTGGCTCAGTGGTTAAGCACACCAGGGTTCAATCCCTGGTATCAAAAAAAAAAAAAAGTCGTTGGGGGAACTATAGGACCTTTTGAGAATCCAACACAGAATCTATGCCCTTCTTCCTTGGGAAACCCCAAATTCTATTTGTAGTGCCACATGATTCATGGTACATGAATCACTGACAAAATACAAAAGTTTTCCTAATGAAAGATTCAATCGCATTACCCAGATTTCTGCCACTGAGACCAACACACACTATTTATTGCCTCCTCTAGTTGTGAATGGAAACTAAATGGACTCTTTTCAGCTCCACCAGGATCAGCAGGGACAGTTAAGCCCTCAGCAGAGAGTTGGGTCACGTGGGGTCCAGAGAAGTTACCGTGCTTAAATGATACAACTTGATCTGTCATTTCTTTTATCCAAAAAGAAAATGAAGGAAACATGACAAAAGAGGATGATGAAAACAGGTGTATATTACATTAGTCTTTAAACCTTTTAAATTTTTTTTAGTTGTCAATAGACTTTCATTTTATTTATTTATTTATTTATTTATTTATTTATTTATTTATTTATATGTAGTGCTGCGAATCAAACCCACTGCTTCACACATGCTAAGCAAGCGCTCTACCACCGAACCACAATCCCAGCCCCAAAACCTTTTAAAATTTTTAAGAGAAATAATAACACTTAAATAACCTCAGTTCAGAGTCGAGTGTACTTAGCCAGGTATTGAGAGAATTGTCCGGAGTCATTCCAACTCTCAAGGTCCCTGAGGCACAGACTTTACTTCTTACCCCATGTAAGATGCAACCACACTCCAATAATGTCCCCCAGGAGGGATTTTGGGGGGACCCTGGCTGAAAGGTGACAGCCCTCTGAGAGTTGGCGTCCCCTGGCCTGACCCTGCCTCCTCCTCCTTGCTTCCTGGCTCCAGGACTATAGGGTCAACATCTTTCTGCGGCAACAGTGGAACGACCCCCGTCTGGCCTATAATGAATACCCCGATGACTCTCTGGACCTGGACCCATCCATGCTGGATTCCATCTGGAAACCTGACCTGTTCTTTGCCAACGAGAAGGGGGCCCACTTCCATGAGATCACCACAGACAACAAACTGCTGAGAATCTCCCGGAATGGCAATGTCCTCTACAGCATCAGGTGAGTTCCCTCCAGGTCCGTCCACTCCCTCCTGAGAACGTGCCTTTGCCCACTGCAGGCACCAAAGTGGGGGTCCGACAGAGAAGAACAGGCCCTGCAACTCAACCCCTCTGCAGCATAGGCATCGCAGGTTTGTAACCTAAGCTCAATGAGTAAGAACAAAATACCACGTGGAGTCCCAGGGGCAAGTGGTTCACATAACCAAGGAGATAGGGAAGGGATGCTAGAAAAGGTGTTGTTAAAGTAACTCAGCATTTCAACAGAACAAGAAAGAGGAGTTAAATACCATCGGCAGAAGCAATGGCACAATGCCTGAAAAATCATAGCAACCAGGAAGTTGATGGCCTGCCGGGTGGATGAATCTGCCACAAGCTCAGGCAGGACTGCTCTGTCCTCTGTCAACCCCCTTACCACAGAGCTGACAATCAAGAGGCTAGACCCCCTTCCTCAGCTGCGGGGTATTCTGAAGACACTGGATAGGGGCAAAGCTTTCAGAGTGCCCTGCCACTCCTCCCCACCTAGTCCCAAATCTCCTCCCCCAAGGTATGGGGACAATGACCAATGGCCAAGAGGTAAAGACATGGCCTGACACATGCAAACTAACAGCTACCATTCATTGAGAATTTACTCACTGTGCTAAGTATTTTTTGTATATCTAATCCTTTCCACAACTGTATGAAATAGGTTTTCTTATGCCCATTTTGCAGATGAGGCAAGTGAGGGTCTGAAAAATTCAAATAACATGCCTAAATTCCCACAGTTAGTTCATCACAGAACCCAGATTCCCACCTGGGCTAATCTCAAAGCCTACAGCAGGGAATGATATTCAATAGGTACTTAAATATTCAACGAATGAATACGTGTTTATTTCAAAGTGCTTTAAAGGACACTGGTCAGAAATGACTCGCCCTCTCCCTTCAGTTCTTCAGGGGAATGGACTTTATTTCTATTGGGAGATGAGACTTCAAGGTCAGGCCTGTGGGAGAGGTTACACCTAACCCTCAGGTGCAGCTAGACCCAGTTTTCCATGGGACAGATGGGGAGGGGGTGTGAGGAACCCACCCCCAGGGGCAGGCTCACCTCCCTCAGTGCCATATGCATGCAGAGGGGGAGAGCCATGGGTTTTTAGGAAATGGTTGGGGGAGGAGCGGGCCACCCTGCTTGAGTTTTACTGCTGGCAGGCTAGTTTCATATCTCCAGGAAGCTAAGTCCCAGTGCTGCATGACAGAAGGACAAATCAGCAGAAAGTGATGTTCCCAAGGTCATTCAACTTCAGGAAATTAACCCAGTGTGACAGCTGCCCCACTTTGGAGCTTTTTATCTTCAGAATTCCACTGCATTCCCTTTCCCTTTGTTTTTCCCCTCCTTTCCCCACTTCCTCCCTTCCCCTCTTCCTCCCCTCCCTTTTCCTTCCCCCTTTCCCTTTCTTGCTTCTCCTTTGTACTTGAAGGGACCCACATGCAGAGCTGTGGGTGTGAGCTGGAGGGAGAAGGTTCACAAAGGGCCGTTTTCTCCATGCACAGCTGAGATGCCCACAGCTAAGTCTCCCCAGAACAGCATCAGTTAGGCATCTTGGGGTGTGACGGGGAACATTTCAGGACAGCGCTGCAGGAAAACCAGCCAGCGACGCACAAGCCAACCCCACTGATAGTCTGAGTCCAAAGGCTCCGAGACATGGTTTTGCCTCCTGGCTGAGCCATCAGCTTGCTCTGCAACCTTAGATAAGTCCCAATCTATTCTCCCCTGCACCCTAGTATCCCCACCTGTCAGAAGAGGTAGTTGGCCTGATGATCTGAGAGCTTTTCTTCCGTGCCACCTGCAGTGGGCGTTTTGATGTTGGCAAAGCCTTTCCAGGGGAAGTCTCATATCCCAGCCCGAGCCACAGGCGTCCATTCCCCTGAGGGGGGAAAGCCTGCAGCCCTGGCAAAGGTTGAACAACCTGAAATAAATAGCTGGCCCAGAATCCTGGGGAGCCTGCCGCCTGCCACCTGACCCTGGCAGAAGCCCACAGATGTGTCAGCTGGGTGTGAACCTTCAGCAGACAGGGGCCCTCTTTGAAATAACTTCTAAGGAGCCCAGCATGTGAGGGGAGGCAGTCAGGATCCACTTACAGCCCCTGGGAGGATGCCTGAACCTGGTACAGCTCCATTGATAACTTGGACTCTGTCTCTACCTGAGGACTCTTCAGAAGAGTTGGAATAGGGGGGTGAAGGGACAGCCCCTGACCTCCAGGCAACCTATTAAAGATGGGTCTCTAGAAGCCAGACAGACTCCAAATAAACCTGTAAGTTCCTCTGACTCTGTGTGACTTTAGACAAGCTACTTGGTCTCTCTAAGCCTCTATTTCCATATAAGGAACTTGGAAATATACATACATTTATTCAATAAACACTAGTTTTTTGATCTTCTTTCCCTGTCCGGAATAATTGCTTTTCTGCTAGTAACTAGGATGGAGACGCAGTCTCTCTGAATATGGATTCAGCATCATTTAACTCCCTCTCTTCCTAGAATCACTCTGACACTGGCCTGCCCCATGGACTTGAAGAATTTCCCCATGGATGTCCAGACCTGTATCATGCAACTGGAAAGCTGTGAGTCCTTTGCATGAGTCCTTTCTAGAGAACTAGGCTCCCATTTACCAAAAAAAAAAAAAAAAAGAAAAAAGAAAAGAAAACAAAAACACTGTAAAAACTCAAAACACTACATAAGGGCTTTGCTTTTAGAAAATACACTAGAAATATAACTGCCCTTACCTTCTTCAACCGAGGCCCAAGTTTGGAGTCAGCAGCATTCTCCAAAGAAGCATTGTTCCATGTCTCTTGTGACTGTGCATATCAGGAACTGAGGAGAAAGTAGGCCAAGGTCCATGAACTCCCAGGAATGTTCACTTCAGCGGAGGAGAGGCGACTGACTGCACAAGTAACTCTTACTAAGGGCAGCCAGTGCTAAGAATGTTGTTAGACATGCAAATGCTGCAGCCACTTGGCAGAGGAGTCCTTTCCTCTTCTGGAAGGAGAGGGTATTGGAGGCTTTGTGAAGGACCAGGATTTTAACAGATTGGAAGCAGGTGCGGTGGCTCATGTATATAAGCCCAGTAACTTGGAAGCTGAAGCAGGAGGATCACAAGTTCATGCCCAGCCTGAGCAACTTAGTGAGAATCTTTCAAAATATAAAACTAAGAAGGTCTGGGAGATAGCTCGGTGGTAGAGTTTCCCTGGATTCAATTCCCAGTAGTGCTAAGAAAGAAAAAAAGAAAGAAAACCTGACTCCCTACATTGCAAATATAGAAACCAACTGATTAACTTAAAAGTACACGAACCAGAGCACAGCATTTAAGTGTTGGGAACTAATGGACCACTTGCTTGGAGCACTGCCTCCGAGGGGAATCAGTACCAGCCAACTCAGAACCTCCTTTACCTCTCTCAAGAGTCAAAAGTCCTGGGGCAGAGAGTCTGATTAGTCTAGCTTGGGTCACTATTTCATACCTTATCCCCTCCCAGCAGATAGTCCTACCATGAGCTTGAACAGTAGAGTCATTCCCCCACCCAAGAAAATCTGCTGCAAGAAAAAGAGGATGCTGGCCAAGATGGGGTGCAGGCAGAGCATCAGGTGTCAACTGCTCTTCAGCTTGGCAGGGAGGGGAGGGCACCAGGACAAGCTAAGGCAGGACGTGGAGGAAAGAGGGAGAGGGAAGGGTTATGGGGTAGCTGTAAACAAAGTTTTGCCCTCCTCTGTGAGAAAGAGAAGGCTGCATGATCCCATGAGTTCCATCAAGTGACTGATGGCTCGCCCAGCCTCTAACCCTAACCACAACACGCTTCAAACAAGTGACCCTGGGTAATCACTACCGCTTCTTCTCATCCCATCCCAGTTGGATACACCATGAATGACCTCATCTTTGAGTGGCAGGAGCAAGGAGCTGTACAGGTGGCAGATGGACTAACCCTGCCCCAGTTTATCCTGAAGGAAGAGAAGGACTTGAGATATTGCACCAAGCATTACAACACAGGTAGGTATACGAGGTTGCTGTCCTCAGATCCCACCCCCAACCAGGACCAGAGGTCATCTCAAATGCTCATATTCTATCACTGATTCTATAGTGCTTGTACAGTGCCCGTGGTGCTCACAGATCTGTATTTATCACCTAGCGGTTAAGAGAATAGGTTTTGAAACCAAAAAGTGGTTCTGAAATTTTCTCCCCGTGAGTCCTGGGGTAAGTAACTTAAGTTTAGGCCATACCTAATTATAAGGGAAGCTGGTAAATATAGTCTTTATTCCAGATAGCAGAATGGATCCTGTTCCTAAGGCTGAAGGGGAAGAACTCATATTGGGAGGACAGTCCCTATCACCCAGGAATTGGCATTTCTGATAGGGCAAAAGTATAGAGAATACTCATGCAAGACCTCAGCAAGAGGGAGGTACAAAGAGGCGGCTCAGATCAGTAACTAGTTAGAAGGGGTCCACTCACCTGGAAGCCACAGGAAGACAGGAAAACCACAACTGCTTAGCTCACACCCTGTCTCCATGACTAGCACAGCCTTGGCGGGGAGATCGATACGGGAATGAACTGGTGTTGGATGAAGACTAGCTTTGCATGCCCTGTCACAGACTGGGAGAGAGCTCACGGAAGCACTGTGGGGTACAATCAGTGACCTGGCATGCCAGCTGGCAGGCTGGTAGGGAGCTGCTGTCTGAACCAGCTGAGAGGAAAGGCATTGACTGGTGGCAGGTCACAGAGAAGAAGGGGTGAAGGGGAGGGACTGAGAGAAGCCACTGCGGGCTCTCGGGCAAATTGAAATCCCAGTTGAAGGGACAGAAAGCCTGGATTCTGGTCCATCTGGGATCCCCTTCTGAGTCAGCTCAGAGAAGTCTCAGAGCCTCCAAAGTCACTCTCTTCATCCCTGAGCAAGTGAAAGTACAGGACATGCTCACGACAAGGGAGGGAGTGGGGACCAAAGTCAAGGATGGTGATATTGGAGATGATGATGATGATGGAGACAAGTAACAATTCTGAGCATTTATAATATGTGAGGATTGTGCTAAGTTCTTCAAAAACATCATCTCATTTTATCCTCACAATAACCATACGAATAACCACATGAAGTAGGTATTACTACTACTACTACTATTACCGCCATCCCTTGGTATCAACAAGGGATTGGTTTCAGAACCCCCATTGGACACCAAAATCCAAGAATGAAGAACCTTATATTAAATGGTGTAGTATTGGCACATAACCTACACCCATCCTCCTGTGTACTTTATCTCTAAATTACTTACAATACCTAATACGATGCAAATGTTATGTAAATACATGTTATACTTTACCATTTAGGGAATGATAACAAGAAAAAAAAAGTCCATACATGTTCAATACAGGTGCATTTTTTTCCTGAATATTTTCTACCTACATTTGGTTGAATCCATGAATGTAGAACCTGCTGTTATGGAGGACAAACTGTATTATCCCCAATTAACCACAGATGAGGAAACAGATACAGAACCATTCATACTCTTGCCGAAGCACACAGCTAACAAATGGATGAACCAGAACTCCACTCAAAGCTATTTGACCCCAAACCCTTTGCTCCCACCCACCAGCCTAACTTGTGTTCTCACTATAATATCTTACAGGTAAATTCACCTGTATTGAGGCCCGGTTCCATTTGGAGCGGCAGATGGGCTATTACCTGATCCAGATGTATATTCCAAGCCTGCTCATCGTCATCCTCTCATGGATTTCCTTTTGGATAAACATGGATGCAGCACCAGCCCGTGTGGGCCTGGGCATCACCACTGTGCTCACCATGACCACTCAGAGCTCTGGCTCCAGAGCATCCCTGCCCAAGGTAAGTGACACTGCAGAACACCTGCATAGAAAAAGACAGCACTCATCTGTCTAGACTGCCAGAGATGAGGGGAGCATATGGAACTTATCAGTGGTGTTTACCTACTATATGTTCACGGTCCAGTGTTCTAGTCCATCCAACCTTGCACCAGGCTCAACATTGCATTCCATACAGGCTGCCAGACACCACCTTCTGCTCCATTCTCTACTATCACTAGACACACACTCTGTTTCATCTACTATTCAAACTCAACTTTGCAAACACACACACAAAAAAAACAAAAAACAAACAAAAAAAAAAGGAAAACTAAAACTTGCCAAGTGCAGTGGTATATAGCTCCTCCACAGGCTGAGACAGGAGGATCTCTTGAGCCCAGGAGTTCCAGACCAGCCTCAGCAACAACGTCACAAGACCCTGTCTCCAAAAACCTCAAATTCTTAACTTCGCATTCTCCTCCATGCACATTTAGAGCTAATTACCATATTCTTCTCCTTTCACGGTAAGTAGCAAATACTTGTGTCAGGGATCTCCAAGACCATCGCCACATTCAGAGAGCTGACAGGACTCAGGACTCAGTATAACCTTGCACTCCCAGCTAAGATTTATCATAGTAACAAACTAAGGATACACTGTTAGATTATAATAACATAGTCAGACACAAGAATCCATGTGCTGGCTTCTTAACTCTCTCCCTCCCATGAAGAGTCACAAAGAGCTTACTTACTCAAACAACAAAACTGTAGACGCATGATACATCTGTCCAGAGAGACAGAGACTCTCTTGGTACTGAGCACCCAAAGTTTTAACTGGAGGTTGGTATTTTCTGCCTAGCGTGTACCAAAATTTCAGACTCCTTGGTGGAAATCAAATGTTCAGCATAAAGCATGTTCTTGTATAAGCAGTTACAGCACAGTGAGCCATGCTCATCAGTTAGGGAAAGTAGGAACAGTCCCCAAATGCAAGATCCCAGACACCAGTCCTGGGTCAACCTTGCAAGCAAGTCCTTTTTAAAATGACAGCCTCATATATGCTATGGTGAGAGATATCCAAATTGGCATATGCAAATTACCTGCATCACTGCTCCTGTGCCTTGGGGCAATGATTAAGTAAAAAAAAAAATATTGAACACAAAACATCAATATTTTGACTTTCAATCTGATAACCAGGAAAGCTACCAAGTGGCCTGTGGATGGGTAACACAGATAGTATGGATATGCTGGACAAAGGAATGCTTCATGTTCTGGACAGGATGGGACAGGATCATGCCAGATTTCATCACGCAGTTCAGAACACTGTGCATCTTAAGACGGATAAAGTGTTATTTCTGGAACTTTCCATTTAATATTTTAGGAGCATGGTCACATCCGAAACTGTGGAAAATAAAGTGGGAGGTAAAGGGGGACTGCTGTTCCACTCTCCTGGGCTCTCACCCCGCTGCATTTCTCCCTACCCTCCCTCCAGGTATCCTACGTGAAAGCCATTGACATTTGGATGGCAGTTTGCCTGCTCTTCGTGTTCTCAGCCCTGCTAGAGTATGCCGCTGTCAACTTTGTTTCTCGGCAACACAAAGAGCTGCTCCGATTCAGGAGGAAGCGGAGACATCACAAGGTAGGCCTTTGGGTCACTACCTAAGGAGGGACAGCTGGCAGTGGGTGGAAAGTCTTGTCTTGGGATACCTTTTTTTCCCTGGGCCATCCTTCTCATTGGGCTAAGCAAGCAAGAAATAGGAATTAAAGTCCTAGAGATCTTTAGTTTCACGCCCCACACCCCACATAATGACCTAGTTGGGTCAACAGGCGGTCACTCCTACAATCATGATGGCAACCATGCAGAAATTACCAGGTTACCTAAAGGCAGAACTAATGGAGCAAGAGCTGAAGGGTCAAGGTAATAGCTAACTATATACCTAAAGACGGGAGGGTGGGAGACGTGTGTTGGTGGGTTTTTTTGGCTTTTTTTTTTTTTGGTTTTTTTTCTGCAAGACTACGTTACTTCATTGGGCTTGGTTCCAGAAGGAAACTGTGCTAGAAAAGACAGGATCTTAAATCAGAATGTCCAAGTTCCAAGTCTTTATTGCCTGTCTCCAGGGAGGGGCCACAAGCAAATCCTCCTCCCAGTGTGGGGATTGAATAAAGGGACGTTTGGCAGGCTGTCTTTTAAAAGTCACCAACATCTGTTAACTCAGAGGTTATGAAATGCCATTGGGGAGAGGGCAACCTGTTGGATCCAACCACCCCCTGCCCTGGACCATATCGACCTCCCCACAAGACCTTTCTCCTGGGGATCAGAGACTCCACTTCCCTCTCTAGCCTCATCCCTTTGCTGTCTGATCACTAACCACAATAGCTTTTTTCTTAGCTCCTCATACACAAAGGACATCAGACATCTCATTCTCTCTTCTCTTCTTGCTTTTCCAGTACCAGTGCACCACCACACTTGATATCAACCCACTCCTGTCTAGTTGTCAGCTGCTGAAGGCCTAGGTCCTTTGTTAAGGCTTTCATATAAGGGTATCAGGTGTGTCCGTGCAGTTTGTATCCTACAAGGGCCCTAGCCGAGGAGGGACTCTTCCTAAGCCATGTTCTGGCTTGACACTTTATCTGAAAGGACTCCAGTTCACATGCCCAGAGAAACGGACCCCCTTTTTCGAATGAGCATAAAGGTGCTGTGTATGCTAACCAAGGCCATGTTCCAAATGAACTCGATTTCTATCCTTCTAAACATTGTGTTGGTCCATAGTTACACGTTCTACCATGTGATTGTTTAATGTCCTTCTCTTAGTCACTGAGTTATAAGGCCCATAAGGACAGAGACCACGTCTGGTTTTGCTCAGTACTACATGTCTGGTACCTAACACGGAGCCTGATGTATTATGAACGTACAATAAGTCTTGTTAAACATTTGAACAAAGGGAAAAACACACTAATGGATAAAGAGGAAGCCTTCCAGTCAGACAGCCTGCCCTGAAATACTTCCAGTGGCAGATTAGGGCAATCAAGGACCCCAGACACTATAATCTATCAGGTCACACCACTCACCTGTGACATACCAAGGTCTTACAAGCTTCAGACAGACCTATTTAAAATAACTACTGAATGCTATCAATCACAAAAAAACTGTCACCTGGATTTTCTTTAGAATATGACTTCAAGTTAGCCTCTTTCTGGGCCCAGTTTCACCAGCCTTAAAATGGACTTAATGTGTCCAATGCGAGAGACTGGTGGGGATCAAATTAGAGGATGCCAGAGAAACTGTCAAAAAGTAAAATGAGGGCGGGGGCTGTGGCTCAGTGGCAGAGTGCTCATCCAGCATGTGCTAGGCCCTGGGTTCAATCCTCAGCACCAACCACATGAAAATAAAAAGCAAATAAAATAAAGGCATTTCTGTCCATCTACAACTACAAAAAAAATTTTTTTTGAATTAAAATGGTTACTACACACACATTTCCATCAATGTGTTTCTTAAACATCAGTGACATGATTCAGTTGACTTTTGGCAGTATGCTAAAGGGAAGAGGCACCCCTTCTGAGACAGAGGAAGCCCTTGGAGTTGACATCACCATGTATTGGGAAAGGGAACCGTGGGTTCTGCAAGCTAGACCGTCTTAAAAGACCCCTAGCCTTAGTCCTTTTTATACTGTACACTAGATTCCTAGCTACTCCCTGACTATTAAAAAAATACGTAAGCATCAGGCCTGGTGGCACACACCTGTAATCCCAGCAGCTCAGGAGGCTGAGGCAGAAGGATCACAGTTCAAAGCCAGTCTCTGCAATTTAGTGAGGTCCTAAGCAACTCAGTGAGACCATCTCTAGAAATAAAATATAAAAAGGGATGGGAATGTGGCTCAGCATTTAAGTCCCTGGGTTCAATCCCTGGGTACCAAGTAATAATAATAATATGTAGGAAAGAAACTGACCAAATACAATTGTCTCTGGAATTTTTTGTTTGTTTGTTTGTTTTGTTTTGTTTTTTGTTACGTGGTCCTGGGGATTGAACCCAGGGTTTGTACATGCAAGGCAAGCACTCTACCAACTGAGCTATATACCCAGTCCTCTGGGATTCATTTTTATTTACTTTTTTTTTTTTTTTTTTGCATTTTCCTGTGCTAAAGACACTTGTTGGAAACACTTATTTGGAAAGACTATGTCCAAAAATGTGACTAAACCAAACCTTTCAATTGGGTACCACCACTACACAACTCCAGGAGGTGTATTTGCATAGGCTACAGTGTAAATGAGTCCCCCTGTGGTTAGGTACCAGGTGGGCTACTGTACTCCCAAAGGCTATCTCCAACGTCCCCATACCCAATTCCCCCCTAGAGGAAAGCAAAAACTTTTATCTCCAGCCAGGTAAGGTGTGAACAAAACCACTATCCAGAATTGATCACATTCTCCTGCTCATCTCCCTCCTGCAAAAGAATCTCAGAAATCATCTCTTTCTCTCCTCTCTTGCAACTGAAGAGAGACACTGACCACAGTGAGACAGAGCAAGCCCCCAGGATCCCACTGCAAGGACAAATGGCACAGGCAGGGGAAGTGCTCAAGGTGTTCTTTCCAAAACATTAACCATACACCAGGAGCTCTTATCTGTTAAGCAGTGAAGCAGATAAACATAATCCTGAATTTATGAGATCATAAACAAGAAGTAAGGCGTAACTCAAGGCACAGGTCACTGACTGGTACTAAGAAGGCTAAATCCAAAATGCAAATATCTTGGATTTAGCCAGCAGCGTTTAAAAAATCTAGAATAAGGTGCTCAGATCTTTTTAAAACCACACTTTTGGTGTCACTTGACAAAATCACAGCATCTGGCCATGCTGGCTACACAATCCCACATGAAATTCATGTGCCGGAACTGTCTTTGAGTACAGAATGCATTCTCCAGGTTACCACCGCCTCTTCTAACAGATTGTTCAACCCCAGTTCATTTGAGCACTTGCAGTTCTCTCCGCTGTCCTGTTGGCACATTTGAGTTTATGTGACCTCATTCATAAGGACTCTGAACTTGGCCCAAATCTCAGAAACTACAAGGACACAGAATTGGCCTCACCATAGCAAAGAACCTCCTTTGGGTTAAGCCATTCCAGCTGAGGTTTATATATTAGAGGTATCCAAGTGTGGGTCACAGAAATCTCCTTTTAGCAGTAGTATGCAGAAGGGATTTTAGGCCCCAGATTGTGATTGGAGAGGAACTAGACACAGGCCTGAATTTCTGGAAGACTGTGATCTTGGCCAAACTCCCCAACTCCCACCATTCTCCCATGTTACCTCATTTGTTGGGCAGAAAGCATCTAGTCTTCCAATCCCTAGGCAGCCTCATTAGGCAGATTATTAGAAAATTCTGTGAGGCTTAGACTCAGCAGGTTCATGAGCAACCTCTCCAGGTTCCAGGGTACACTACCAGATTCCCCAGCTCCACACCCCAGCCTCAACCCCAACAGCGGATAGGCAGATGTTTCCTGCCACCTGCTGGTTGTAATAGGAATAGCAAGCTTTTTTCCGGTCATTCCTAAGGAATTTCCTTTCTCCCAGATACAATGTGAAATTGATAATCTTTTGACTCAGAGGAACTTTCAATTCCAAACCTCAGCTCCTTCCATTCTGGTGTTTAACAGATGAGAAAGGCAGAGAATAAATTCATTCCTAAGATACATAGAAAGTTAATGTGGTGGTACTTCCCTACATATAAATACAGTCGTCCCGCCCAAATGTTGAGTGTACTTCATCACTCCACAAGGGCAGATTTATATTTAAATGTCACAGAGTCAGAGCTAGACCCCTTTCATGTATCGAGCCTAGTAATCTGGCCAACGAGTACTACTCTCCTGGGCCTGAAATAAGCCCTCTTCTATTGCCCTACTCATGAATGAATATTTGTTGAGAACCTATGTGTAACAGAGTTTGCCTATTTTCCTCCACTTCTGTGGTGTGGGTGTTGGACCAGGTTTATTCATTTGACCAACATTTCCCTGGCATTTATCATGCGTCTCAGACCCTCCCGGTGCCAGGAATACAACCCCCTTTAAACAAATGAACAAAAACCAGGAAGCTAAGGCTGGTGACAGTGAAGAAGTATGAGTAACCATTTATTTATTCAATCAACTTTGAGCTCATGTGCCAGGACCTGTTCACATGTGTTGAGGTTGTAGTGACCATGACAAGCTTTCCCTCTGCTTTCACAGAGCTGACAATCGAATGGGAGAGACAGACATTGGTCAAGGAGGTACAGTGGAATAAGAGCTTTTTTTTTTTTTCCAGTGCTGGGGGTGGAACCTAGAGCCTCTTGCATTCTAGGCAAAAAAACCCCAGGAAATAAGAGCTTTAAAAGTGCCGGGGAGTGAGGGGCACTTTTACTGAGCACATAGCTAACCTATGCTTGGGAGCTTAGGGAAGGCTTTTTAAAAAAAATAATATTTTTTCTTATTATTTTTATTTACACGTGACCATAGAGTGGAATGTATTTTGATATTTTACACATACATGGAGTATTACTTCCCATTTCTGTGGTTGTACATGATGTGGAGTTACACTGGTCATGTATTCGTAGGTGAACATAGGAAAGTCCGGTTCATTCTACTCTTTTCTCTTCTCACCCCCCACTCCTCCCTTCATTCCCCTCTGTCTAATCCAATGAACTTCTGAGAAAGAAATTAGGCGAAAGAAAGAGAGAGACAGGGGACCTTGCTTAGTAGCAGAACTCTTGCCTAGAGTGCATGAGACCCTGGGGTGATTCCCAGTGCTGGGGAAAAAGAGAAAAGAATGAATGAAAGAAAGAGAAAAGAAAAGAAAAAATGAAAAGAAGAAGAAAAAAGAGGAGTCAGAGGCAAGGGTTAGGGCTAGGTTGTATTCCAGGAAAAAAAGGACAACTCGAACAGAGATCCAAAGAAGAAAAGGCAGATATATTTCAAATATATGGAAATACTGCAGGGTGACTGGGGCATAGAAAGCTACCTAGAGAATGCCACAGGGAGACTGGAGGTAGACAGGATCCAGGTCATCTGAGGCCTTGCTCACCATGTTAAGGATTTTCTTTTTCCTGAAGTCAATGGCAGCCCTATTAAAAAGTTCCAAGAAAAAGATAACCAATAAGATCTCTTTTATAACAATCCAGATGGGTAGGGGGGGTCACGGAGGCTGGCAGCCTCCAGACTAAGCTAAAGGTTGTTGCAACAAATCCAGATGCTGGCCCATCCTAGGGTGGCACAAGTAGAGACAGAGAGGCACCGGCAAGTTCTGTATTGAATATCTTATTCTCGGTTAGCCCTGTCCTGCACAGAGACAAGCAAAAGACAGAATTCCTATCCTAAAAGCACTCCATATCTAGGAAGGCCATGTGAGCTGATAAAACGTTCCCAGAAACACACACTGAATCAACAAACAGTTCAGCTGAAACCAAAATACTGGAGTTTCAATGCCACTGCAGAATTTTCACGGAGAGATAGCAAGGCTGGATGTGACGAGAGCAGACAAAAGTGCTTCCATGATTCAGGCCAGGGCGAGATCACACTGACCGGGAACAGGGACAAGCCAGTGGGATAAGGGAAACAGGCATTTTGCACAAGGGAAACAGAAATAGTCCAACAAAGCTGGCAGAGGTGCAAAGCACATGGGGGAGGGGCACCCTGAAAAGGTAAGTTGGAACCAAATGATGAACAAGATCATCATAAAAACCCAGAGGTTACAACTTCCAGAGACGTGGGGACATGAGGCAGGAAGAAACTATGGCTTCCCTGGCTTGTGAAACAGGAAGGTAGAGAGCTCTTGTTCTCTTCCTGGGTAACAAGGGGGTGGGGACCAGGGCAAGGAAGCAACAGAGGCAAAACAGGGGATCTGTCCAAATTGTCCTCTGAACTTCAGACCAAAATCCATTACACAGCACTGAGTATTGACCCAGTGAAATGTCTGAGGGTCAAAGCCTTGAAAGGTAGTGAGGTAAGAACAGGAAAAAGTGGAAGAACTCTGAGACTCACAGAAGGAAGGGATTTGCCAGCCCACGATGGCGCTGAGATCTAGCATGGATCTCCAGAATTTGAACCATGTTCCCATCCCCTGGTTTGCACCTGTTTCCACATGCAAGTGGCGCCCCTCTATAAGGCAGAACTCCCCAGCCAGCCAAAAAGCCTTCAGACACCTGGGAGAGTACAGTGTGGGGGTCAGGGAGAGCCAGATGGGCATGGCCTGGCCCCGGGGGAGTGCCTTGCAGGGAGGGTGCCCAGCCCCTGTCTTATTTTAAGTAGAGCCCCATGTTGAATCTGTTCCAGGAGGATGAGGCAGGAGAGGGCCGTTTCAACTTTGCCTATGGCATGGGCCCAGCCTGCCTGCAGGGCAAGGATGGCATTTCGGTCAAAGGCGCCAACAACAACAACACCACCAACCCGCCTCCCGCACCATCCAAGTCCCCGGAGGAGATGCGAAAACTCTTCATCCAGAGAGCCAAGAAGATTGACAAAATATCCCGCATTGGCTTCCCCATGGCCTTCCTCATCTTCAACATGTTCTATTGGATCATCTACAAGATTGTCCGCAGAGAGGACGTCCACAACCAGTGAAGGGCTGGGATGTGGGGGGATGCTGGGGGAGGCTGGGACAGGGCAGTGGGGAAGCGCACAGGAATCTGGGAGGCTAAGGAAGAGAGGGGAAGAGGGAGGGGCACATACACAACTCTTGTCTCCCTCTCTCTCTCTGCAATATGTGCAATAGCAAAATGCACTAATGCATGAATTCTAGAATGTGGCACTATCTATTTAACCTGGGGTGGGTTGATGGGGATGGGGCGGGCGGGACTTTTCTAATATAGGAACCAACCGAGGGCCAGGGAGGCAGGGTGGGGCATAGGTGGGGATGGGGAGTTGGGGAATAACAACTTTTAAAATTTGAGTCCGCGGACTGTGCAGTTTTCCTATTTGGAAGGAGAGTACAGTCTGCCCAGAGCAGAAGGAAAGCAATGTAATATATGATATATATTCATGCTTAATATTAATGCAAAACCACAAGAACAAAAGATTTATTTCTTAACCTATCAGCCTAGTAACTGCTTAAATTTTTAAAGTCACAGAAGTGATGGACAATTTTTCCCAAAGTGGAAACAGTCACAAAATAAGCTTGCTCTGGCATGTGTCCCACATCATATCCCTCCAAATGCCATATCTGTCTTCAAACTGGCCCATGTGGACACATGCCAAAAAGCCATTCCACCTCTGCTTCAAGAGGGTTGTACACATGGGCATGGGTAGTGGAGATGGGGAAAGGTGGACAGAAGAGAAGAGAGTGACTAAAGTTCAGAGGCCTGAGGATTGGGAATCAAGTGACCCCACCTCAATCCCCATGTCTCAAGTTGAGGGACCACACTCATTCTCCGGTAAGCCCTCTCGCTTCTGTGCTTCAACACCTACCCCCACTAACCCTCCACCAGTACCCGGAAATGGCCGCCATGGTTTTCTCATTATATTGCCAATATGCAATCTTTTTTATGGTTAAAAAAAAGTAATAATCTCAAGAAGTAATATGCAGATAGACTGAGTATAAACAGATGTACTTTTTTCAAATGTCTATTTTTTTGGAGAGTCTCTTTGGAATTGCAAATGGGTGCATGTTGGGGAAGGTGGGGGGCCAGTTGGATGAAAAAGATTTATTACCTAGTGGATCTACAGAGGAAAGTTTTAAGAGGTGAAAGGGAAGTACTGAGGCTGCTGTGGATTAGGTGTATGTGGGGGAAGAGATGATAATATGTAGAAAGTCTGTTCATTATATTTTGGCATTTCATGTATCATAGATAATGTGAGAAGTTTGGGGGGATGTCCCCATTATATTTTTATAAGTCTTTTTTTTTTTCTTTTAGGTGCTTTGTTTAGCTTTAACATTTGGGAAAGTTAGACGAATATTTCTCTTTCCTCCTAACTCTGAAGTGCCAGAATTTTCCTAGTATAGTTAGGGCACTCCAGAGAAAAGAGAGCGGGAGTAGGAGATGAGTTGGGGGTTGGGGGGACTGGAGGGTGCTGATGAAGGACAAGGACATTCAGATGGGAGGTCTGCAATGCAGAAACAGCAGGACTCTGTCCCCTCTGTCATCCCTATGCCTGAAATGATGGCACTACTGTCTACAGCAGTTTCCCTGCTTGGGCACATGGCCCTAATACTGGAATTCCATTTCTTACTTTGTACCTTAGTGTGCTGACTTCTGATCAAAGTTGTAGGCAGCATGGTGAGAGATGGCTGACAATCAGTGTGTCCTGACGCTTTGGGGTTTTACTTGTGTCTGTACAGCAACCCCAAGATGGAGCAGATGGAAGAGGAGCGGTGCCTAAATGCTCCCTAAAGCACCTTCCCCCAGGGAATTACCTCCCATTCTCTGTGGCACAATTGTTAATGCCTATATAGGCATATATATGTAGGCTTATATTTAAAAAAAAGATTATTTTTAATTTAAAAAAAAAGCAGGCCACGATGAAGAACTTGAGTGATTTAGATAAAGAGAATGCATTATGTGTCCCAAAAACGTACTGGCTTTGAGGCTTCGGTGTTTGCATCCAAGCCCAAGATCAATTGATTGTTGCCTTCCGTTCTCTTGGCCTGTGTAGACCAAAGAGGTTAACTATAACCCAGCTGTGGATAATGTGAGATAGAACCTGGAGTCCTTTTTTTCTTTTTTTCCCCTAATAAATCTTGAGTGGTAGCAGCTGAGTTGTGTGGGAATCTTTCATCTAAGACCATCTTTTCCCCCACCACAAATATGTGTCCAAAAGAGGAAAAGTCAAAGAGGACTTGAGTGACTACTACCAGTTCAGGGCTAGTGGTCTCTGAACTGCTATGAGCCTTTTTTCATGAGCACTGTATTCACTTTACTTAGGTAAAGATTATTTTTAATTAAAATAAATAAATAAACAGTGATGCTCTTCTCCCCACTTTACTCCTTACTGGACTGAATTCAGGAAATCTACAGTAGAGGTGAATGAGGCAACAAAGGCACCAGGTCTCTGTCAGAGATTAAAGACAATATCAATCCTTCTAAGAAATTCTTCCTACACACTCACAGTCAGCAGACTCTAACATCTGAGCACAGAACAAAGGCCAAAGAAATGCAAGAAAATAAATTTTAATTGTTCAAGAAAAAAAAAAAAACCCTACAGGTTCCAAACTGGCCTTCTCAAAGGCAATATCCAGAATCCCACTGACACAGGAATCCCCTGGGCATTTACCCAACCTCTGCTGGGTCCCTGGCTTCTGCCACCATACTGCCATATTTAACACATGGGGCCATTGGGAGCTGCCAAGACTGGGGGACAGTATCCAACAATCAAGGAAATCAGCTCTCTGGGAAACAGGAGGGTGATGTCCCTAAAATCTTCTCTCAGATTATTTCAAACTTACTATTCCTTGTAGAGATTTGATGTGAAAGGAGAGTTCTACAAGCAGTGAAAAGAACCTTATTTTAGTCCTGCCACACTAATATGCTGAGTGACCTTAGGTAAATGACTAAGCTTTAGTTTCTCTGAATACACAAAGGAGAGAGAGTGGTATAAACTCCACCCAGCCCTAACTGTTCTATGAATCTGTATATAAACAGGTCAATGGGATGTTGGCCCAACTAAAAAATTTAATGTCACTTTGATTTTTTAACCCTCCTTGTGGATTGTGAATACAAGTACAGGGACCCTCACAATTCTTGTTGGCTTTCTTCTCTGGAAAATTTGCAGATTGTTTTTCTTTTTGTACCATTCTATCAAAGGTGAACAATGGTGAAAAAGGGACATCAATCATGATAAAATCAATGATTTAGGAAAGGAAGCATTTTGGAGGAGAAGATGCCATTATCCATGTATAATGTAGTAAGGCTTTAGCAATACATTATGTGAATTTCATGACTATAGAAAATCAAATATTTTTTAGGTGGCCCAATATTTTTTAGGTGGTTCCAAGCAGCAGTGCAATGCTTCTGAATTTCTTCTTCAGTTTGAGCACAGGAGATGGGAGTACAGATGCCAAGTGGTATGGTGAATGAAAAACTGGTTTAGGTGCAATGACTGACTCACTGGTTTCAAACCTTTTGCATGGACAGACTGGTATTTATACATAGTGGGAGGCTTAGATAGTGGCAGAGAGGAGTTGATGACTTCACTGGTCTCCAAAACTGAAACTAATCCCAGGAGCCAGATGGTAATATTTCCCTATTAGTTTACAATGTATTTCACTTGTTTCAAAAGCAGCCAAAATGAATGGCTGAACTCCTTTTTCTTCTTGTCCTTTCAAACACCAAGGGTCAGTTCTTGGCTAAGTATATAAAACAGGAACAAAGACAGATGTGAACAGAAACAAAAATGTCTATTTGTGTGTATGTGTAATTAATATCTGGAATTAATTCTATTTTTTTGCTTGAGTCTAGAAAGACAAAGGGGGTCAATCATTTGACTCCTATTATTTCTTCTTCCAAGCTGGCAATAAACAAGAAATGGATCACTTTCAGAAGTTCACCAATATTTTTCATAGGCTTATTTTTTTTTAATACTTGGAAAGAAACTAATGAGAGATGGTTCCTTTCCTTCAGTATATGCATCTTCATGAGCATCATAAAAGAGATGGTGTTTTGTAAGGCTCCAGGATGTTAGATTGCATAGAGGAGGTTAGTGCTCTAGCCAAACTGGTACCACCCCTGATAACAGTCCTTTGTGAAAATTAGATCCTTAATTGAGACATACTGAAACTGAAGGGGGTTATCATTATGCCTATAGCAACTGCTTTCTTAGAAGAAGAATCTGGCAAGCAGAGTGCTTGGTGGTGGTACAGTCTGTATCAGCTTTAGGACTGGGGTCAGGATCTGAGATTTGCAACTATTTCCCAGTCTGGCCAGAAGCCCGGACCAGGGACAATGAACAGCACTCTGGAAGCTATCATACTTACTCAGCCAGCAACTTCTGCACCTTCTACCTACCCTGCACCCCAGCTCTGAAGAGACAGGCAAGACTGTGTTTTCTCTGTGGGTTATATTTCCTTCGTGACTTACTAGCTAGGTGATTTGTACTCTGAGAAGCTACTAAGATCTGTTGAGAAAGGGTGAAAGGAACTTTCTCCCATGATGTATGGAATCTTTACTTCATGAGCCAACCAATTTTTTTCTAATCAGACAGACAGGAAGTACATTCTTAAAATAGAATTTGGCTTCTTTTCCTTCACTAAGCCCCTCCCCTTAGAAACCAACTCCAGAAATATTAATCAAGAAGCTTCCAATGTTCCTCCACTTCTATGAAGCCAGGAACAAGAACTTATGTTTAAAGGGAGGAATAAAAAAAAAAATATCCCTTGTTTTAGTTGAGTTGTTTGCCCTTGAGAACCACTGTATCAGTGTAAGAAAAATTATACATATTGGCAAGGCTTTGGTCTCCTGGTATCCTGAAGTCCCAATGGACAGAGGGAACATCCTTGGATAGGTTGAAATCCCTGCAGAAATAAAGAACTTTTTGAAAGCTCTAAAATGACATCTCCCTCTCCCCAATCCAACGTTAACAGAAGGGAAGCAGTGACTTGGATCTGACTATCTCAGCTGAGGATTTCAGAACTTCAGTGTGGACAAGGGCACCCTACCACCTTCTCCCAATCCGGAGTGACCTCCACTCTCGAGGGCCCAGACTAGATGATACCTCTACTGAACTGTTATTCTGATGCTTCCAGAGGATTTCTTAAGCCATAGAGACAGCTTTGCACAAGATAGCTTTGCTCTTACGTGGGTGCTAGTCTGTGCCATTTAGATGGAGCTGTGTGGTTATTTAAAGCAACAATTTTAGGTGCTTTTCCATTCTTCAGAACAGCAAAATGAGTTTCAAAGCAGAAATTATTGCCCAATAATTTTTAGGATCATTAACGATTCCCCAGTTAGCATCCCAAACATCCCTTCTCCCTCTTTTGCTCTCCCCCTACTCCTCCCTCTGCTTCCTTCTCTGTTGGTATTTCCTGTTTCATCATTTTGCACGTCTTGTTTTATGAAACCAAGTTCTGCCAGAAGATGCTGATTTATTTCTGAGGGAGATGAGGGTTTGGTTTAAGGTTGAGGTTTCTATTTCTTCTCTTGCCCCATTCATTTTGAAATTTCATTGCTCTGGAAAATTTCCATTGGCACACTAGGTCAAAAAGTCCTGGCATAGAGAATGGATGGCAAGACAAAAATATGCCTTTCAGTGAGCCTAGCAATAAAACTTACATTCTACATAAGACCATTAACCAGCTACAAAGCAGTAACAGCTAACTAATCAGGAGATGAAAGACTTGCTGGCTTCGTGTAGCTTCCAAGCCTGTGGGCCTCCCTTTCCCACTTCCGGCCCCTTCTGCAATTCTCTGTGTTACCTGTTGTGACTCTGCAGTTCTCCAAGCTCAATTGCTTTCTTACACAACTGCAGAAACCCAGTAACCTGGTTTGTGAAATAGTCGGAGGTCAGTGAGAGGCTCCTTGTTCTGGCATTACCTCAGGCTCAACATGGAACCATAGGCAAGCTACTTATTGGGCTGCTTACTCTCCTGGAAAGATGGGAGTTGAAGGAGATTTTCTAAAGCCAAACTTTGGACATTTTGATGGGTTAAAAGAAAGGAAAAAAAGGTGTGCACCGTGTTGTAAAGGATTTTGTCATTTCTCTATTTTAGTGCTAGGTTTGGAACCCCCTCCTAGGCATTCTGGTAGATAGGTAGGGGGAGATTTTTTAAAGAGGAGTCAGTTTGGGTCCTCAAGTTCACAGTCTTAATCTTTTCCCCTGAGAGCCAGATATTTCACAACCCTGAGAGATTTGCCTCTGAGTCCAGCTTCTCACCTGAGACTCTTGTCACAAATCAGGACACCACTTCACTTTGGTATTTTAGCCTATATGTCCTACGAAGGCTGGAACCCATTTCCCAAGGTAGTTTTTTGAATTCTTTCCGCCCAAGCTTCTGGAAAAATCAAAAAACTACATCAGAGCAGAACTCGTGAGATGTCCCGAGGGAAACAACACTAGTGACCCCAAGTCAGCTCCCTGCCTGCTTCCCCCTCCACAACTTAATCGTAACAAGAAACTTCCCACGAGATTTAAGAATATTTCCCACTGTGTATCCCTGTTATTTTGGTTGCAGTAGCAGAAAAAGTGGGGCCACCTCAGACCATGGGCGGGTGTCTAAATTCATACCATTAACTAAACTACAGTAATATGAAAATAAATTACAGCAGGTGTGGCTGGTGCTGGGCCAGCTCTCTCCCAAACTCCCCCACAAAATCTCACCCTGGGAATGTTCCTGAAATTGCTTTTGGACTCCTGTAGCTCCAAAAAAACACTCCTTATAATCAGAAAACACTGTTCCCATCCTTTCCACAGAGACATATGTTTGCTTTATATCAATGGAACTTCTTTCAGATGTTTATATGGTTGACACTTTGACAAATGGCCCTCACTCTTGTCTGGCCTTGGCATTAAAATATTGCAGACTAAAACTTTTTCTCAATCCCTGGTTTAAAAATGAACTAAAATGTTTTGACCTTTTAAATTTTTCATTAGTTGATTAAAAGACAAACTTATTTGAAACCAGTTTTTCCCACCCCTATTCCCCATCCTCACATAGCTACTTCTTTGCCTCCAAAAGATTCAAATAACAGACATTAAAGACCACTACGATGGATAGAAGCATGATAAGACACAGTGGAATGTTAAACAGTATGTCATATGGTGAATATGGAGGCAGTCACAGTAAAATCACTTCCTGTTTTTCCCCCTTAAAGCTAGTTTTCCCATCTGTAAACAATAGTATTGAATTACTTGATCTTGAAAGGCTTTTCTACTCCACTTCTCCAGGTATCACTTTATTGCACACACACAAAAAGGACTTCCCCCTGACTCTGAGGTGTGTGGTTTCCTTAATGCAGTAGAAAAGGCACCAGCTTCCCACTCAAAGCCTGCCTGAGGTGCAACTACTGCAGGCCCATGACCTCATTGAGCAAGACTTTTGTGGTGCTTGGTTTCTTTGGGGATAATAGTTACAACACAGGTCTGACATCTAAACAAAATGACAGTGAATGTTAGCCCCACTTCCTCAGTGTAAACTGCAAAGCAGTCTCATTAATCATCTCAGTCTCTCTCTGAAATTCTTATGTCCTCTTCCTCCATCAGAAGATGTCATCCAAGAACGGTCCTTCAGAATGGAGGCCTAGCTGGGCACAGGGGCGCACGCGTGTAATCCCAGTGGCTTGTGAGGCTGAGACAGGAGAATCATGAGTTTAAAGCCAGCCTCAGCAACTGTGAGACGCTAAGCAACTCAGTGAGACCCTGTCTCTAATAAAATACAAAATAGGGCTGGGAAAGTGGCTCAGTGGTGGAGTGCCCCTGAGTTCAATCCCCGGTACCAAAACAAGCAAACAGATTGGAGGCCTCCTCCCCAATCTATCTGCCCTGCAGAGCAGTGGGTTTAGTGACATTCCCTGACTTGCCCCAGAGATTTCCTCACTGGTGAATTATGTCATGCTTGCCTCAGGGCTCAGTACTAAGAGACCTAAATTCTAGCTCTGATTGCATTTATCAAGCACTGATATGCCTTTTCTCCATAGCTAGCATTCAAGTATCAACTGAGTAGAAGGCACCATAGTAGGCTCTACTGATAGAATGGCTGTCATCACATGCAGACTAGGAAGATTGGGAAATCTGAATGCCACAATATTTTACTGAGCACCTGTTTTATGTTAGTCTCTATATAATTCCCACCATGACCTTGACCTTACTTTCCATTCATTGATGAAAATTTAAGGCAATTATCCCAAGTCAAAACCTTGCCAAAAAAGTTTGGACATGACTCTAGACCATAGAAAGCTAAGTTTTGAAAGCCAAATGGTCTTAACTTACCTCTTCCATATATATGTTTTTAACCTTCAACTAATCTTTTCCCCCTCTGTTGCCCTAAGTCATCCACCTGAAAAGCCTTGTCTTCCCAAACGGAGTATAAAATCAAGGAAACAAAGTGGAGTTGACTATGTCATATGGATTAAACATTTATTAATTTAACTGAATTTTATAACTGCTGATAAAAGAAGTATGGACTCATTTGACCAAGGACAGCTCAACATACAAAAATTTAATCTAGTAACTTAATGAATACCATCTTGATTATATCTTGATCAGGAACCAAACAAACCAATCTTTTGTCTTTTTTTTTTCTCCAAACATGATCGTAAACATAAATTGATCAGCCAACCTTACAAGGTTTAAGGACCTACTAATCTGGTATTTGATGCACAGATTTGGAGTTAATATGTAGGCATCCTCTAGTTTTTCAATTGTAGAATAAAGAATAAAAGGAGTAAGTACCAGGACAGGAGGGAATGGGTAGCACTTGGAGGATATTGAGAGCATCCATTATTTGTAGTCCTGTATGAGAGAAGCATGGGCCTAGGAGTCAAGGGTAAGATTTACCTTCTCTGAAAGACTTTCCTAAGTCTAGAATCCCTTTGAACATTCGCTCAAGATAAAGAACCTACTATAAACAACGACAGGCACAGGAATTAAAGTGAGCATCATCCCTAACTACAGAACTTGAATGAAGATGTAATGCGGGTATAAATAACAAGTTTGACAAGAGATGTGTTAACAAAAGGGGGGGAGAGTTCAGGGGAAAGAAGTTATGTCTCAATTCAAGGTTTCTTGGACGATGGCATATTTGATCTCAAATTCTCAATTTTCCATAACACCAGCTTACTGTATGAATTAACCATGGTCTTACTGACATTTTAAATGGTATAACTTCTAGTGGGCAGTTACCTAGTCATTTACTCCAACCAGGTTTTCAGGTAAAAAGGGACCTTCTTTTCGTGTGGGATACTATTGAAACATAAGTATTCAAAGTGACAGCCTGGCCAGTATTCCAGATAAAGGAGGGACTTCTAATGGCTCTTTACTCCCATCCAAGCTCTAGCAACCGGCTGGGAAAATGGAGTTAGAAGGAAAATGTGTGAATAGAGCCCTCCCCCTAACTATACATACACAAAATTAAGTAAATGGCTTCTGCTTGTCTCCAGGTCTTTCTGTTCCTAAGTGTCACCTAGGTAACTTGATGTGCACAAACTAGCCAGTCCAGTTCATGGGACAAGGCTTCTACCACTGTATCCTAGGACCCACTTGCCCTCACCTGTGTTTCTTAAACTGCATCTATTAAGTTTGATCTTTGGCAAGACAGGACCATTAGTTACAATACAGTGATATCTGGAATGTCTTAGCACTTTCTAATCTAAAAGCCAGATTAGAACCCCTCTGTACAGCTCTAAATGTTGGTGAGGCAAGTGGCACTCTGGATCCCTCCTAGGGGCCCCAAGACTGGCTGGCTTAGTGAGTCTCCAGGCAACTTTTATACATTTACTTTTGGATTATTTTTCACAATGTCTCAGCCTGGGGAAAGCAAATAGGCCTTTTGAGTTGAAATGTGCACAGGGACATCTCCATAGTGTCATATCTGCACTAGAACATATTCAATCATATGAAATATTGTCCAGTTTAATCCGTTTTTTAACCTCCCCACATCTGCCTCTTCAAAGCTTCCACCTTTTTCATTAAATTTGTCATAAAAACATGACATCAGAATAAAACACAGCCTACTACTTTCCCATAATATAAAAGTACCAGTAATTATGAACAAGGAATGCATGAAGTATGTAACAGAAAGCAGAGTGCCATGAAGCAGGTAGAAAATAAATCAGCATGTTGCAAGGCCACCTGAGCAGTTAACTTAAAAGAACAGAAGAGAGTTGGGTGCAGGGCACAGGTCTATAATATTACCCAGTACCTTGGGAAGCTGAGGCAGGATCTCAAGTTTGAGGATAGCCTCAGCAATTTAGGGAAACAGCATCTGAAATTTTAAAAATAAAAGGATAGGGGTGTAGCAAGTAGTAAAGCACCCCTGGGTTCAATCCTAGTACACCCCCACACACACACACAAAAAAAAAAACATAAGAGAGCTGAAACACTCACCTATAATACTAGTCACTGGGGAGGCTAAGGCAGGAAGATCACAAAGTTTGAGGTCAACCTGGACTACTTGGGGAGACCCTGTATCAAAATTTTTAAAAAGGGCTGGTGATATAGCTCAGTGGTAAAACATCCCTGGATTCAATCCCCAGTAAGGAAGACAGAGGGGTTTTGACAGATAGGGACAGTGGATTTCCAGGCAGAGAAAATATAGCATGAGCAAAAATATTGTGGTAAAAAATAAGGGGCACAGGCAAGGAAACGATTAAACACTTGGCTCCAGTGTAATGAATGGGAGACAGGTTGGGAAAGATACATTTGGAGTACATTGAAACATGCGTCAATAGGAATCCTATTAGGACTCACTGTAGCAGTTCTCAGTGGCAGAGTATTTCTTCATGAGCAGAGCAGCTCATTCTATCCCTTACTAGTTCAGATTTTTCTGTTCTTCTCTTGGAGGAACCTACCTTTTCTTTTCTCTCATAAGTATATATGGTACCCAGTAGCAATTTACACTTTCAAGGGCATCTGCTAAACGCAACAAAACTTGACATTGTATATGTGCGTGGGGAGGGGGAGTTAGTTGTAAAGTCATGGTTCTATATTCAGCTCCCATTTCTACATTAATTGTGAAAGTTATTCCCAGAGTTACTTACCACTTAGTACAATGAAGGAATTTCTAAAGGGGAGCTTGTGGTTCCAATGTTATCTTTTGTTGATTTGTTATGTGTAACAGAGTAGACTTTGAGAAAAAGTGTAACCTTGAATGTCTCTTAACCTTCAGCTTGCATCTGAAATTCCTCCCCTCAACCCAAAAGCATCTCTATTCAAAGCTCGAAATTAGTCCATAAATTAAAAAAGAAAAAAAAAAGACATGATTAGTAGAAATAGAGATTAAGTGTAGTTGAGTTTTACCAAGTCATTGCTAGTGCAAACAGGTAGAAGGAATAGCCTTTTACAGTAAGCAAATCTAGAAAGAATATTTTGGGGAAAGCTTAGTATTATCTACCCTAGTAAATAAAAGATTGACCCCCAATCTTTTTGAAAACTGGTGCTTACATATCAAAAAATCAGTTTGGGAAACTCAACCTTTTCCATGTTAGATATGTTTCTACCTCATTTGAAAGTGTATACCATGCTCAACATGCCAATTTAGCCTGAATATTATGAAAGCAGAAAAAAAAGGACATTCTCATAGGGCATTTCAGAGTATTTAAAATTCATACTTCATATTTTAATGGTTCAATCTTCCAATACCTAAGTCATTATAATATTTTCAGCACTAACAAGTTAAAATGAAATGAGTGAATTCCAAAGGGACCCATCCTGCTACTTCTTATATTGGACATAGATGAAATGCCTACTCCTTGGGATTCTTGTGCATGCTAGCAAGCTCTCTAAGTCTTATTACATCTGAGTTCTACTTTCAAAAAACAAATATAGTAGGGGCCTATCTCAGAGACCTTCAAGTAAATTTGAAAAATTGGGGGAAAAAAATACAACTAAAAAAACTCAGCAGCTTTGGTGTGAAATAGGCAAAATGAACCAGAGTGAAAAAAAAAAACTCTTAATAAATTTAAGCTCTCTTATTATCCCAAGGATATTCTAGTCTCATTGTCTCAACATTACAACAGATCTGTTGGCTAAACCACCGTATTCAGAACAGATGCAAACTGCTGCAGTGTATATAACTAGTATCATTTGAAAGAGTGGTACGTGACAGGAATGCAATGACTACCTTTGCGTGAGTTGAAAGTACAGTACTTCCAAATCAAAAATTAAATCAGATTGATTCAAAACATTCCAAATAGAGTTATAACATTGTAAAATAAATGCTCTAATTCAGCCATTGGGAAAAGGGGCTTTTATTTACATAATTTATCCTAGATTTAGAAACGTTTCAATTTTCATTTCGACTCAGGATGCATTCCAAATTAAGATGGGCTGGTTTCTGCCAACAGAACCAAAGTGTGCAATCTGAGTCCCACCCAAATCTTGCCAAAGCAAGTGACTTCTGCATAGCTGGAAGTCCCCATTTTACCTGTTCAGGTATTTGCACAAAACTACCCCTTGTCTTAATAGTTCCCTGGTTTGATGTTTAGGCAGAAAAGCAAATTCCAGGTGATTTTTCTGAGCTAACTTCACATTATTTTCTCCAAAAAGATAGCTGCCAATTTTAACATGTCATGAAATACAAAACATAAAATATCAGAAATTAAATTTCAACATGGGATATTTCTTGAAACCTAACTCTATAGTTTAGTTGCCCATTATTCAAGTGAAGTTATTTTAACCCCAAAGAACAGAAGGGCATTGTATAATTCTTTAGGACAGTGTCTACTTGGCTGTGAAGTCTTGTTACAGGTATGACGCCCACAAGTTACTATACTGTGATTCCATGTACTTCTGGGAGGAGATACAAGAAATATGCTTGGCTGGGCATTGAGTTCAGCTTAAAGTACCTGCTCACGCATAACATAAGAGATTCAAGGCGATTCATACTTCCAACATGAGACCAGAAAAATCACAAGCCCATATAGCAGCAACTCTATAAACAGGTAGCCGAAGTAGATTTAAAAGTAGCAGCCTGGCGGCATCTTAACTGGTCTGGAAAATTGGGTCAGAATTACTCAAGAAGTTCCTCAACCTTTCCCAGAAGAAAATGTAATAGTGTCTTTTATATGGAAATTTCTTTGTATATATGTATAAACTTGGTATGGCCTTAATGCTGCAGTTAAGGATTTGTTTGGCTACCACCTTAAGCAGCGTGTTAAGCAATCGCTTCCTTAATGTAACATTTTTACTTCTTATTGGACATTCAACCTTGAACAACCAATTCCCTTTGGCCCCTTACTCTTCCCTTTTTTGCATGGAGACATAAAAGTTATGGCAGTTATTTTTTGGCTTGTAAAAAAATCTATTTCTGCAGTTTGAAGATGGAATGTAAAATTTCTGTGATACATGTATATAAAAGTATATTTATTGAACCATCCATACACATATCCATGCCGATTCCAATGGAAAAAAATTAAAGTTTTCTGAAATTTTCTGTGGTTAAGTCATAATTGTTATCATCAGACCAACTTCATGTGAGAAAACTTTTGAAGTCTTGCAATTACTCCAGAGAGAAACTTATGTATAATCTGAAAAACATTTCACTTTAGACAAGCTTTATGCTGAGAAATGAGAATTCATTTGTTCATTCAAGAAATATTTATTGGTAGGTGCTACGGGGGATAACAAAGATGACTCTAGACACAGGTCCTGCCCGTAAGGAGCTTACAGTCTAGTGGGGGAGATAGAACACACAAGTGGGTGGGATACATGGTCAGAGCTAGGCTTTGGTAAGATGAATCTAATATTGTGTATAAAATAAGCTGGAGTAAGAAGAGATAATGTGGAGCTAAAAACTACTGAAATTACCTAGATGAGGAGAGATGTGAAAGACTACTGAGGTAGAATGATAGAGGACTTAGCTGGAGACTGGATGTAAGGAGTTAACAAAAAGGGAAGCAGATGACTCATGTGTAGGATAGGCAATGTTATGAATGAAGAGCAATGAAGGAACAAAATCATTCTGTGTGGAAACCCGGCACTAGGATAGATCAGGGGCAATCTGATACAACACCAGGAATGGAAGAAGCTCAAAACAGCCAGTGACTTCCTCCCCATCCCCTCCAAATTTCCAACATTTTCCCCTACTGAAGTGTCACAGTGCCTAAAATTTAGTGCATTCAAGACTACCTCCAGGCATTCTTTGCTTTTAAGATGAAAACTGAAAATTGTTATTTAGGACTTCTAGAATAAGTCACTGTACCTTCCTATAATTAGAAATATAGGAATTAATTCCCCAGTCCTTGTCCTCTAGGAGCTTATAGTCTAACAAGGTAGTAAACAGATAAAATTCTAACTCTAGGTTTAAGGAGTAAGTTATAAACCATGAGAAAGGTATCAAGTGTTCTAGGAACACTTTAACTTTAAAAATGAAGGTCAGAATTTCTGCAGTTTGAAGATGGAATGTAAAATTCCTGTGATACATGTATATAAAAGAATATTTACTGAACCATCTGTACACACATATCCATGCTAATTCCAAAGGGGAGAAAAATTACATTTTCTGAAATTTCATATGGAAATTTCACATAAAACTCAAAGAGAGGGGACAAAATGGAAGGGAAACATAAGAACAAATCTGTTCCTCATTTTGAATCCTGGATATATCATCAGTCCCCAAAAGGGATTCCCTATTTTTTATACAAATTTTTTTTGGGGGTGGGGTGGGGAGGCAAGAAGGGGACCTCCTGAACTGAACCTTGATAAAAATTACTTTGATGGCAGACTGGGGTCCAGGGTACAGATGCAAAAATGTATTCAAGGAGAAAAGGCACTACAGCCAGGGAATTAGCAAGGCCAAGCTGATTAGGGGGACCACAAGCAGTTCAGCATACTGGAGCATCATTTCTATAAATGAGAGAAATAACCGGAAAGGAGTATTAGGACCCTGATACACATATGGCACTGCCAGGCACTAAACAGGGTATATGCCTAAGGCCAAATTGCTGCCCCCTAGGAGCTTACAGTTATAACAATACAAGGTGGAAAAGCACCACAATGTACAGAATACAAAATGCTGAAGGATTTTAGAAGAAAATTACAGCTGAGTTTCAGCTATTAAAATATTAGGATACCCAATAGCTTTCTGAGAGAGCTAGTAGTAAACCCATCCCTGAGGGAAGCAAAAGTTTTTAATGTCCTTAGACAACAGACCCTGCTAGAGCTGGGCATGAAGCCAGTTCTAAAAGGAAGAAAAACACACACACACATACATACACACACACACACACACAACCTGGGTACGAAAACTAGACTGAAGGGTGAACTGAGTAAGCAAATAAAATGTGGTGCCTTCCCTTCTCTTCCCACATCCTGAACTTTAGCAGCTCTGGCCTTCCTACAGGGAACCTGGACTGGTGATCCCTGAAGATTCTCCATATTTCTTCTACAAGCATATTAGGAACCATACTGACCATTCCTCTGAGCCATCTGTATCATCTGTAAAATGGAGGAGTTGGAAAAATCACGTATTAAGCCTTTCCAGCACTAACAATGTTTTTCTATGATTGAAAAACTACAGGAGTCTTAAGTCTTTCCTGTTGAAGATAATCAGAATTGGGGAGGGGGGGGAGAGAAACAAAGATAATATTCTCATTTTTCCTCATTTAAAAATGTTTTTCCATATAAATCACAAATAATTCCTATTCCATCAGCTAAAGACTACTTTCGTTCAACCCTCCCTTCAATATCTCCAACATCTACTTATACATGAATTTATTTTTAAAACATGTCTTACAAGCTACTCTAGTTAAATGTGCACCCAACGGTAGAGAGAGAGAGAGAGAGAGAGAGAGAGAGAGAGATACAGCGCCCACCCTCTTCTTTCCTATGCCAGCTTCATGGTGTCTTCATTTAGTGCATACACAATCTTCACAATAAAATTCTAAATTGTGAACAAATCCAAAGTTGAACAGGTAATATCAAAGCAAGGTGAATACCAGCAACCAAAATGGCTTTAATTGGCTTTAATTGAAGCAATAGTTGAAATGGTTTCTGCCCAGATTGATACAATCTTCCCTCTAATTACTACCAAAAATATAGGCAAACATCTCATCTCGTAAGTGGATTCCTGAAAAACAAGTACTTGCTAAAGTATTTCAAAATGAATTGATAAATACTTTAAACTTGCTTAAAAAAAAAACCTAACACATGCTGTAACGTCCATCCCTTGCAAACCTGTGACTGGCCATATTTCAAAGTATTAAACATTTCTGTATTACTATAACCAACCACATCACACTTACAGAATTAACAGTGGAATAAAAAGAAAAAATAAAAAGCTACCAGGCTCAAGTTGGAAGCCAGGGAGTAGAAGACTATCCACAAAGTTTTCAAAAAATATAAACAGAATTGAATATAATCTTGATTTTAAACCATAATCATAATCAAAACCAAAATCGGTTAAAGGTGACTTCTAAACAATTTTTCACTCATTCAGGTCATGCTTTCAGACAGTGACATGAAAACATGAGCAAGACAGTCTAATTTATTATTCTGAGCTAAAAACATATCCACTAAGAATGTAGAGAATTAAAGTTTTATCTCAAGTGTGTCACCATTTTTCCCTTACTATAGAGTTCACAAGCCTACCTGTGGTCCCTAGAACCTCAACATTAAGTGAACAAATATAAACCCCAAATGGCATTACTTTAAGACCAGAACTCTTTTTTTCACTGTCTGTAGTGCCATACGGCTATCATTGAACCAGGAACCTTCATCTGCTCCCCCATTTCACACAGGACATTGCCCAGTTTTTAAAACACTGTGGAAGGCTGTCTCCAACTGACTGTTGTCTACTTTTGGTATATAAGAAGTAGCTAAAATCCCCACATTCCTTCTTTTACAAGGTCAAAAATTGTTGAACTAAAGTCAGAAATTATCTCATCTGTATGCAGTTCTGCAGATTCTTTTAAATAGCACAAAAATAAAACGGAAACGACATCTTTAGATCAGCAGATTTGACAAAAGCAACCATTTACTTAAAACAAATAAGTCATTCAGCATAAATCATTGCCTACAAATCTAAACTTCATGGAAAGATTATTTCCATACCGAGACTAACCGCTTTCTATAAAGTGCAACATTTTCCACTGAATCACTAAATTCTAGAAGGGTCTTCAAAAAAGGGCTGAAAAAAAGTGTCAAGAATGGCAATTGTATGTATAGAACAATTATAAACTCACTTGAATTATAATAAAAATATTGTGATCATCTACATTCAGATTTCAAATTTATATCAAATGAATTATCCAAATAGATTTTTAAAAAATGCAGAAACAGTCAAGCATGATGGTACATGCCTAAAATCCTAGCAAGTGAGGAAGCTGAGGCAGGAGGAATGCAAGTTCAAGGCCAGCTTTAGCCACTTAGTAAGAACCTGTCTCCAAATACATAAATAAAAAGGCAGGGAATGTAGCTCAGTGGTAAAGCGCCCCTGGGTTCAATCCCCAGTTAAAAAAAAAAAAAAAAAGAACAAGTTTACTATTTTATGTTACTATACAATCTGCAAATATCAAAAGAAGCCCTAAATCCAAGTTCAATGATTTGATTTGCATTAAAGTAAGTGAACAGTAATGATAAACTTGTTCTGAATGTATTTCAGACTGAGGTCTCCATATAGTAGTAATTTTATTATAGAAATCCTATTCACTAAATATGCCATTCAAATATAAATAAGTAAACATGATTCTACAGAAAAAACAATTTTGAAAGTCATTCTGCTCCTTGCTACACAGATGACTTTTAAGGCCTCATAATTTACCTGTTCTAATGCCATTTCTTCCATCTGTTTTATTGAGGATAACACCATGTAATCTACAGAGTAGATGTGAGAATTAAGTTTTCTAACTTAAAACTGAAATGCAATTGAACTAATGCTGTGGTAGTAATCCAGTCATCCACAATCAGATGATTATTTTTGGACTATCCTTTTTACTACTCCCTAACAATAGCTCAAAAGACTTGAGAACACAGGAATACAATCTCCCTAAGAAATAAAAATATTTTTAAAAAGCCAAGATCTACATATTATTTATTTATTAGTCGTAGATGGACATAATATATTTATTTATTTTTATGTGGTGCTGAGGATTGAACTCAATGCCTCACACGTGCAAGGCAGGTGCTCTACCACTGAGCTATAGCCCCAGCCCCCAAGATGTATATTCAACAAGCAGGTCTTAAAAGACCAAAACACACCAAACCAAATTAAATTCACCCAGTTAAAATATTTATGGGTCAAAAATCTCAAGCTCATTAGCAAAGTATTATGAATTGAGCTGTTCCTACAAACAAAAATTTGTACTTTAAAATCTGAAAAAGTTTTATGTAATAAGCTGCTGCTGCCTACAGAAATCTTAGAGCAACGTATTTCACTTCAACTTTCTAACAGTGTCAATATATGCATCTTTATGCTCTCATGTTTATTCTGTAAGC